TAGAGATGGGGTTTCAGAACTTTGGCCAGGCTGGTCTTGAACTCCTGACCTCAGTGTGATTCTGATCTATGTCCTTTATTATAGTTATAATCCAGTTACCAAGAATGTGACTGATAAGAGTGAATGCGCTATTCAGGTCAACTTCACACTTGTGTTCAGTCCTCAACAGATCCAAACAATGAACCAAAGAAAGGAAAGGGGGGCACCAGCACTGATGATGCCAGCAATCCAACTACTAAACAGCTTGAAAATTAAAGCCTCACATTACTCTCCTCCTCAAATCTGGCTCTTTATTGATATTATTTCTACAAAGAGACATCATGGTTCATCAGACGACACAACCAGCTTGACCTCACCTCTACTGAGGAATCATGGCATCCAAACCATAGACTTCCAGAATCCTTGGACTCTGGTCCTTGCTGGGGTCACCTTCTGGAAGGAAGGAAAAAAGGAAGGTTTCCATCTGCAGAAAGCTGCATTTTGGCTTATTTCTGAAGCCAGGAGGGTCAGCAGAGCCGAGCTCATCTGCAGTGTCTATGTCACTTTGTGCCCTCTGGCAGTGGCCTGTGTCACCAGATCAGTTGTCTGCCAGAGTGTACAAAGGCATACTCCCGAAGGTTCGGGGCTGGGCATGGTCAGTCCTGCTAAACATTGAGGAAGCCAAGCCTGAGAACCCCGGGAAAGGCGAGGCATGCTCAGTCAGAGCACAGCAAACAGGCTGTGTCAGAAGCCCAGGTCTCCAGCTGGAGTAACATCCAGCCCAGCTTATGGGGGTGGGTGGGGTGGTCAGATGTACATCCTGGGCACGGACAGTGACATGGCACCACAGAGGAGCTTGGCTCTGGTGACCCTCCCTGGCTTCAGAAACAAGCCACAAGGCAGCTTTCTACAGAGGGAAACATTCCTTTTTTCCTTCCTTCCAGAAGTGCTGACTGTGGGATGACTGCCCTTTGGGGCGGGAGCCTTTCATCTGTTCTGAGGCTGCTTCCTCGCCTGGCCCTACCCTACCGGTCATGAAGGAAAACGGCGAGAGTTTCTCTGACCACATCCACCAGATCGACGTGGATGTGAGCCGGACGCTGAGGGGTCACACAATGTTTAGGAAGTGATATGGCATCAGGTAAGTCTGTGAGGGCCATGGGGTCCCAGCGGAGACGTGGTGAACCAGAGGGATGGGGACTTCCCCAGAAAAAATGCCGGGTTCACCCGGGAGGGACGACAGAGCTGCCGAGGCTCTCCAGGCTCAGGAAGCGGCCGGCACCATCACCGAGCACCTCCCGGGTTCCAATCCCTGGCCCGGGGTGGAACATGTGGGCCAGAGCCCAGCGGGATCCTGAGGAGACAGAAGGCAGCAAACAAAATCATGCACAATGGTGGAAAGTGCTCCGCCTGATCCATGGGGACCCATGGTAAGGATCCACGGGAGGGCAGCAGGATGAGGGCTCGTGAACCTCTCCTGACAAAGCTGGCAGTACCAAATGCTGGGGGGAATTCGGGGCCCCGGAAACCCTCATCCACAGCTGGTGGAAACATGACAGCCACTTTGGAAGCCACCGGTTTAGTCACTCGCAAAGCTCCTTCACGGGAATCACATGTCCCCAAAGTGTCACAGACACTGAACCAACTGATTTGGAAACTGACATCCACAAGAAACCTGATGCCACATTCACTGCTTGTTTCATTGTCACTCACACACGGAGGCTACGGTGACAACTTTCGACTCGGGAGTGGGGAGAGGATGGGTGGTCCTTCCTTCAAAGGGAAGGAGACTCAGCAAGAAAGTGAACCAGCCAGTGATGCCCGGATGAACGTCGGTGGTTCTTAGTTGCATTTTGCTAAGGAAAAAAAAAAACAAAAAAAAAACAGACTCAACAAGCTACCGCTGTAGGGTTCAATTCATAGGCCGTTCTGGAAAAGGCCAAACCGCAGGGACAGAGAACAGGTTGGGACGGCCAAGGGCTGATGAGTTGGGAAGAGACTGGCTGCACAGGGGACACACTGGAGACTTGGAGAACGAAGGAGTTGTTCCAGGAGCGGGGAGCAGTGGCTGGGAGACTCCGCACACCGGTTTAGAACCATGGAGGAACTGTACACCCCAAAGACTGAACTGGCAGGTGTGCAGACTGAAAAAACAAAAATCAGAGTGTGATCAGTCAACTCACGGTACGAAATCCACAGCAGATGTGGATTTTACTGAAACATCTCTAAAACAATCAAGGCTCTGAAGAGCTCACAGCTCATCTGGTGAATCATTTGAATCTGAAATTAGATTTGTTGTGAAGGTTTGTAGACAAAGTGAAACTAAAAGCATCTGCACAAAAGAAACGAAAGCCCCTTTCCTCTCTTTCCTAGGCATCAGGAATTATTCTACATCCTCCTAGCACATTCGGCATATAGCCCCATGATTATTCTCAGGGAGCGACGTTTCTGGGATATATTCCCACATTCACAGGCTTGGAACCATGGAGGTGTCGGTGTCTGGTAGGGGCATCGTTGCTTCTTTCAAAGTCAGTATTTGTGACCCACCAGGATACAGTAGGTAGGACTCCAGCTCACTGCTGGCATAAACCTCCAAGCAAGGGGGGTGGTCTTAAGGGTCAAACTGAGACAAAAGAAGTCAGGGCCCCAACGACTAGTGTCACCTGGGCCTGACCACCACTTCTCATAACAAGAAATGACACCCTCCTCCTGGGGCTGCCCCAAAGCCCAGGAGCTTGGTGGTGTTGCATGCACGACGGTGCTCTCAGGAGACCTTTTGGACAAGTTGCCTGAAGTGCCTGAGGGACATGGCCTTTGTCAGGAAATGAATTTGCCTTCTGAGGAAGCCTCTTTTTCAGAGGAAGCCTCCCCAGTCACCTCTGCCTTCTCCGATGACATGAGTCCTCCCAGGTGACCTCAGTCCTCCAGGTGATGTCTTTCCATGGTGACTGTGGCTCTTGCAGGAGATGGGCTACTGCAGGGACCAGAGCCACACTGCCATCTCGCTCCTCCTTTATCTCCCTGAGGAGGGCACATCCTGGGCACTGGCCCAGCTGTTGGCTGGTGAGAGGCACTCCCTGCAGGGTAGGTGGACAGCTGCCCCCCAGGCCTCATGCAGCCAGACCCGGGGACGGCCACCCTGGCCAGATGATCTCGACTTCCAGCAAAGGCACCTTCCTTGTTGCCAGTTTTTTGGGAACCTTTAGGATGTCTCTGCTGAGGATCCCACAGGAGCCCGGGGCTAAATGGGGACCCCCCAGACCCCAAGTCAGATGCCTTTCATGCCCATCAGCAGAGGGCATCTCATCCTCCCCGTGGCTGCCCTCTGTCTTGGAGCCATGCCCTCCAGCTCTGATTCTGTGCAGCTGACTCTCCCCACCCTGAGAGTCCTCCTGTCCTCCAACTGGCCAGGCTCCAGCTGCTCTTGGTGATCACAGGTGGGCCAGTGAAGGCCAGATGGCAGCATCTCCCCATGCCATACTTCCAGGAGACAACCATGAAGCCCAGCACCCACCCTGTTCTTTCTACTCTCTGTCATGGCTTCAAAGTCAGGCTTACCCTCCCAGCACCCTGGCCCAGGAGGCCTCCAGGGGCACCTCCAGCCAGGCTCCAGGGGACGTTCCCACCCCTCCTCCCCAGGGCCAAGACCACAGGGTGGAGTCACCAGATGGGAGGGTGGGAGGCCTCGGGGTTCCACAGTACAGAGCCACAGTGTGGACGTGGACTTTCCAGCTCTGCAGGGCACACAGCACTGCTTCTGACCAGGACAACACATTCACAGCTAGGGACTCGCAGCTTTGCACTCCCACCTCAGGGCCTTGGCTCTGCCATCCTCTACTTGGAATGTTCTCAGTTCCCTCCAGGCTTCTAGAAGCGTCTGGGCCGGAACTCACGGCTGGATACGCACCTGTGGCCCCACAAACCCAAACAAGCTTCTCATCCTCATTTTACTTTTTGTTAAACTTAGGAAAATTTATTAAGATATGACTTACACCCCTGGCAAGTGCACGGCTTGAAATATTCACAGATGGAACACACCAGCCCTCACAGATCAGAAAGCCAGCCATGCCCAGCCCCTCCCAGCACCCCAGCCCCACAACCAGTGCTCTGACTTCTGATGACACAGTTGGCCTGCCTTTTGTACTTTACACGCATGGAAGGATAACTACCTTCATGTCTTAAAATAAATCTTTACTTTTGAAATGATTTTAGAGATACAGAAAAACTGAAAGGCACTATAGTGTACTCCTACACCTTCCATCCAGCTGCCCCTAATAAATGACATTTTGCATTACCATGGCACATTTGTCCAAACTAAGAGATTTAGGCCGACTGTAGTGGCTCACACCTGTAATCCCAGCAATTCGAGAGGTGGAGACAGGAGGTTCAGGTTGACCTGAGGCCAGAAGTTTGCTATTACCCTGGGCAACATAGGTAGACCGTGTCTCTAGAGGAAAGTAAAAAAAAGTAGCCATGCATGATGGCGTGTGCCTATAGTCCCATCTAGTAGGGAGGCCCAGGCGGGAGGATCGCACCCAACTGTACTCCCAGCTACTCGAGAGGTTGAGGCAGGACTACGCTGGAACCGGGGGGTCGGAGGTTCCAGTGAGCCGAGATCTCGCCACTGCACCCAGCCTGGGCGGCAGAGAGCCTCCGTCCCGGAACAAACAAAGTTATGATGTGAAGTAGTAGCTGTGATGTTCAGATGCCTGCAGCTTGGAAACAGTTTCACAACCACACGTGCGCACTTGGCTACAGGCGGGGAGACAGCACCGAGCAGAAACGGCAAAGTGCTGGGTTGTCTGACTTCAGCGGAGGCGTCCACTGCACCGTTTTCAAGTGTTAAAATTAGCATACTACAAACTTAGAGCGGGGAAAAAAGCCCGCCTCTCTTCCGCGCAGTCGCCAGGGGCGCGAGCGGCACGCGGAGCCCGACGGCCGCCCGAGGGTCCCGTGCGCGCGGCTCCGGCGCTCCGCCGGACTCCGTCTGCGCACGCGCAGTCCCGCCGCCCCGCCCGCCCCGCCCCGCCCCTCGGCGTACGTGCGCGCGCAGGGCGCAGGCGCGCGGGTCCCGGCGGCGCGTGAGAGGCCGGCGGCAGGACGCGGCCGTCTGAGGCGCGGGAGCCGCGAGAGGATGGAGCCGCCGAAGCTGGAAAAGTTCGCCACCGCCAGCCGGGGAAACGGGCTGCGCGCCGCGGCCCCGCTGCGCCCCGGGGAGCTGCTCTTCCGCTCGGACCCCCTGGCGTACACGGTGTCCAAGGGGAGTCGAGGCGTCGTCTGCGACCGCTGCCTCCTCGGGTACGTGCGGGCGCCGGGGCGCGGGGCTCCTGCTGGGCGCGGCTGCACCGGGGGCCCGGCCGAGCCGCCCCTGCCGCGTGCCGGCCCCGCCCGGACGCCCCCTGGGTTGCCGCCGCGGGGCTGGGGAGGGGGCGCGGGCTGCGGGGAGAACGGGAAAGACGCCGGGCGGACCTCGGGGCAACGGTCGTGCCGGAGTCGTTCCGCGGGGAACAGAAAGTCTGTGTCCCGAGCGCCCAGCCTCAGGGGCGCGGCCGTGGAGACCACAGGCGGCGGGCGCGGGAGCCGGGGGCAGCCGGGGGTGTCGGCCAGGCTCCCTGCGGAGGCCAGGCGGGAGGTGGGAGGACCTCGGGGTTGACGGGGCCCGCGTGCGGCCTCGGGGGTGCGAGGACGGACGGGACGTCCGCGAGGAGCGCGTCCGGTCACGGAGGCGATGACAGCGCCCCCGAGGGGCTGAAGCGGGGGGCCGGGGGCGCGCCGCGGAGCGTCCGTTCCCGGGGTCCCGTCGGCCTTGCCGCCGAGTGGCTGGGCGGGCGCGTCTCGTCGGAACCACCTGCCTGCGTGCGAGGGTTCGCGGCCAGCTGTTCCGGAAGCGGGACGCACTGTGCCCGTGCGAAGTGCTGGGTGAGCGCGCGTGACGGACGTGTGTGACTTAACGTTCACAGTCATGGGAATTGCATTCAGTCCGCAAGTGTTACCGAGCCTCTGTGTGCAAGGAGGAAGAGGTGTGTTTTGAGATGGGTGAGACGGTTTTGTGCATGGCCGCTTTTCCGACCTGTCAGTCTGAGATTTAGATGGGTGGACGTAGGATGGTAAGTGCAAAGCCGGTATCTGTAATTTGACCATTGTTCTTGCTTTGTTCTCATTTCATTCATAGTTGAGGAATGTGACTTTGTATTTTAAAGCTACCGAACAGTAATTTTGTCTGTTGCTGTCTGAAGTAGTGATAACAGCGAAAACATCTGTTCAGGAGAGAGCAGCACCTTGAAGTTTCTGTAAACTGTGGTTGAAAACAGTTCATTTCTTTCAAGATAGTACTTGGAACAGGAAAGTTTTGGAATGAATAAATGGCGACAGATTGGTAATTGAATCAAAAGAGCTGAGTTTGAGTCATATGACACATGGAATTGCGCATTTTTGAAATAAACTACACAGACCCTTTGTGGATGGGATGCTTGTTGATTTACCGTACTATTTCATTACTCTCGTTCATTTTTCTTGTTTGCAATAACTGTGGTGATTTAAACAAAAAAGGAATTTCATGAAAGAGTATTGGCGGTTCTCAGTGTTGCTTTAAAGTCTGCAGAGACTTGACTGGAAATGGGCAGGAACCAAATCAGAATTGCACTGCAAAAGTAGCTGGGTCAGCCGGGCGCGGTGGCTCAAGCCTGTAATCCCAGCACTTTGGGAGGCTGAGGCGGGTGGATCACAAGGTCAAGAGATCGAGACCATCCTGGTCAACATGGTGAAACCCTGTCTCTACTAAAAATACAAAAAATTAATCAGCTGGGCATGGTCGCGCGTGCCTGTAATCCCAGCTACTCAGGAGGCTGAGGCAGGAGAATTGCCTGAACCCAGGAGGCGGAGGTTGCCGTGAGCCAAGATCGCGCCATTGCACTCCAGCCTGGGTAGCAAGAGCGGAACTCTGTCTCAAAAAAAAAGAAAAAAAAAAATTAGCTGGGCATGGTGGCGCATGCCTGTAGTCCCAGCTACTCAGGAGGCCGAGTCAGGAGAATTGCCTGAACCCAGGAGGCGGAGGTTGCGGTGAGCCGAGATCGCACCACTGCACTCCAGCCTGGGTAACAAGAGCGAAACTCCGTCTCCAAAAAAAAAAAAAAAAAAAGGTAGCTGGGTCTGGGTCTGGGGAGTATATCACTTCTGTTGCCGGATAATGCTGGATTCTGCAGTATGTACCACCAGCACCACAGACACTGGACCCTGCTGGGGCTGCTGCTGCTGCTGCTGCTCCTTGCAAAACTGGCTGTTGCTGGACAGTTATTCTCTCAAACATTCTTCTTTGTGATACTAGCTTTTATTTGAAGTTCTCAGTGAATGTCTTAGATTGGCTAAACTTAGGTCACTGCCTGGTACCCTAGCTGCAAGAGAGGTTGAGAAGTATTTAGCCTTTTTAAGATAGAAGGCAGGTTAGCTGTACTTCCCACTAATTGTTATCCAATGGGGAAATCAGCAAACATAAACATGGAAAAAAGGGTATAAGTAAATGCTAAGCATCTAAACAAAACAAGCTAAACAGATTCTTCATAGTGACTAACAAAAACTTGTTTGTTTTACACACATACACAATATTTGCACTTACTTGGGATTGCCAGGATACACAGTTCACTTGTATTGTGGTAGAAGGTGCTCTGTTTGAACGCTCCCACTTAGTGGTTATAGTGTTCTGAAGAGCCTCGTTGGGAGTCACTGCACCCTGAAAGCGGTGTTAGGGAAATGTTTGTGCGTTGATGCAGTTTTCTGCCATGGTTGAATGCATGTCGTTGAGGGATAAGTTTATGTATTATCATGTTTTAAGTAAAATTTGTTTCTCTATTCACTGTCAGTTGTGAAGTCTTTGAGAATACATAGTGCATCTTTCAATTTTTGTAGCCCCAGTTTGTAACATATAGTAAGCCCTTAGTTTGTAGTATGAATGTCTGGCAGAATTTTCCTCCTAACTGTAGATGTCTTGCTGCTGCCTTCCATCTGAATTAAGTATGGAATGAAAATGTTAGTTTGCAGCAATTAACAGTTACATGGGGGAGGAAAAATCAAAATAGAATGAAAAAAACATATTGGTTATAGCTACAGTCATGCACTGCATAACGACATTTTGGTCAACAAAAGACCGTATACATGACAGTGGCCCTTTACGATTATATCATTTTTTAACTGTACCTTTCCTGTGTTTAGATACACAAATACTTAACCACTGTCTTAAAGTTACCTTCAGTATTCAGTACAGTGGCATGCTGTGCAGGTTTATAGCCTAGGAGCAGTAGGCAATACCTGAGAGCCTAGGTGTGTAGTAGGCTATACTACCTAGGTTCGTGCGAGTATACTCCATGATATTCCCACAACAATGGAATCACCTAGTGACGTCCTTAAGGGGTGTGTGACACTACTTCATTAGTCTCCAAAAATAGTGGTTACAAAGTTTTACACGATTTCCTTTGGTCTAGGTCTTTTTTGATTAGTAGCTTTAGTTCTGTATACTTGTTTTTGTTAATGGGTAAAGGTGAACCTGCTTCATGGCTTATCTTTCTTTTTTCTTCTCATTAAGGAATGGCTTCTGGTTTTTCATGTTGTGCCTGGAAAAGAAAATGAAGATGTAAGCTGGACAAAAATGGCAATGACAATGAAATTGTAACCTGAACTCACTTTTTTTTTTTTTTTTTTTAAGATGGAATTTTGCTCCTGTTGCCCAGGCTGGAGTGCAGTTGTGTGATCTCGGCTCACTGCAACCTCCCCTTCTTGGGTTCATGCGATTTTCCTGCCTCAGCCTCCCTAGTAGCTGGGATTACAGGCCTATGCCAACAGACCTGGCTAATTTTTGTATTTTCAGTAGAGACGAGGTTTCACCATGTTTGTCAAGCTGGTCTCAAACTCTTGACCTCAGATGATCTACCCACCTCAGCCTCCCAAACTGCTGGGATTACAGGCGTGAGCTGCTGCTCCCAGCCTGAAATCACTTACATTGTCCTTCTGCTGTTGCATGCATTTTCAATTTGATGGAGATAGAAAATGTTGATTTACGAATGGGTCTGGGTTACGTGTATTTCCTGTTTGCTTTGGTCAATGTAGCATGTAAAATTCCATTGTTATGATTTTATTTGTAGACCTCACTCCCTAGTGTAGTGATCTAAATCTAATCTTCTTTATATCCCCAGGGCTTAGCACATGGGAAATGTTAATAATTCAAGGGATAATATTTTGGGGAACTTGAAGTCACTGTATGTTTGTCTTTGATTTTTCTCAAGTTCCAAATTGCCTGCAGTTTCCATATCAAGAGCTACTTTTTGGAAACTCTAGTGGTAGTTTCTTCTATAGGGGAAAGAGAATATATCATCCAGGATTAAGGCTGAGAATTAGGCTTAGTGCCTCCCAGAGGGAAGGAGGATGACTTGGAAGTAGAAGTTTCATCCCTTTCGTCCTGGTGGATTGTGGGAAGTGGGGGATAGAGGTAGGGAAAACAGATTGTGAGAAATTGTTATCTGCTCTTACCTGTTCTGATCTTTTTTGGCTGGCTAAAGTTCCAGGGTTCAGGTGGGGATGTTTAATGGGATGAGGGGACAGTCAGCAGTTGAAGGCCTTTCGCTCTGCTCCTTATTTGGAATCTTGAGAGAAGATGTTATGCAGGTTGGTGATAGGCCAACATGAATCTGTAGCACAGCAGTGGTAGAAGGAAGTGGCTAGATAGATGAGCTTGTGGTAGCAGGATATTCTGAAATGCTCTCATACCACCACGAAGGGGGTGGAGGAATTATTGGCATGGTGGAACAGCTGGCATCATGACAAAGGACTGTGTGACTATAGATTCAAGGTCAGGATCATAGACCCCAGGGATGAGAGCCAGCACGACATTCCAAAAGATGAGATGGCACCAGTTCAGCCATAGGACCTGATTACCTCCTTGGAGTAGAGACCAGTGAGGTTCCAGAGAGACAATACGGATCCAAGGTATTTTTTTTTTTTTTTTTTTTTTGAAACAGAGTTTCACTCGTTACCCAGGCTGGAGTGCAATGGTGTGATCTCGGCTCACCGCAACCTCCGCCTTCTGGATTCAGGCAATTCTCCTTCCTCAGCCTCCTGAGTAGCTGGGATTACAGGCACAGCGCCACCATGCCCAGCTACCAAGGTCTTTTTGACACTTACTTCTAGGATGTCCTGTAAGACCTTGGATGGAAATCTACCTGAAAGCAGTCATTTAAAGCAGTCTGGGTAAGGAGTAAAGTCTGAGTATGGACTAGAAGAGATTAAGATATTGTTTGACAAGTTTTAAATTT